GTGTCAGGCTGTTTTAGGGCCCCTAAGTTACGTATAAAAACTTTGCCCTTTAAGTCACCAGTACTCGCTGCATGACATCAACAACATTAATTTTTCACTAGTTCAAATTTTTAAGGTCGACCACGTACGTCTAGCGAACCAGTTACGTGCATCGGCTTGTGGCGGTGATTTTAGCAACAATATGGTTGACGTTGTGCTATATACGGACGAGCAGCCAGAGAAGCAATCGGCTGCACGATTCTGCTCAAAGAGGAGGTAAACTGCTTGATTTTGATTGGCTTCCACAGGGCGTCGAGGATGTAGAGAGTGTATCCTTCATAGGACCCTGCTAGCACCTGGAGCGATGAAATCATCTAAGAAAAGAATTCTTGCCAAGCGGACATTATCCCCTCCCCCATATGAGGGCTCTACAACGATGTAAAGGTTGATGGTAGAATCAGAAAAAAAGACCTTGAAAAAATTAGAAAGGAAATCTGAGCACACCTTGTCTCTTCAGCTGCCCTCTTCTTCATCGGAATCTTCAGCGATTGTCCCACTCTGGGAGGTCCGCTGTTCGGATATGATGACGCCACTTGTCCGGAGTAATTGCCTGGTCGGAGTGAATTCTAGCTGTTCCAAGTCTGTGTGCAGCGCATCGAACCAGTGCTGGCGTCCTTTGAAGTCGCTTTCCAGCCCCCTTGACCCTCACCCTCCTTCATTCCTGTTTCATTGAAGTTGATTATATGGAACCACATTCTCTCAAAAGGGCCAGAGGAAGCGTTACAGCACCAAGAAATCCGTCATTCCAACCGTTCTGCCCGTCATCTGTCCCATCTGGCATCCATCTGCTAGTAGTCCGCACGGCATTATCCGTATCCATTCTAACCCAGGGTCATAAATTTTTGGCTTGAAGCTTCTCGAAGACCCCATCCCTTGCTTTTAGGATATCAACAGGAAGTTGCGGTGAGAGTCCGGCGAAAATTGTACGACATCTACGTGATCAGTTGGAATGTACGAAATATTTTCAGGAAGATTCAGATCTTGGAAGGTGAGGGCATTTTTCGAAGTGTTCTAAACACTGGGTTATTTACAACAGGGCAATTTTCGGCAATTTTTTCTATGGGTAGATAGAAGGTATGGGTTACAAAATTGAGTTTCAATTGTTGATATGGGAACACGAGACGTGCTGTCTAGGTACGGCAAAGCAGGGTGAATCTTTTCTGAACCTGCTCGTCTTTGATATTTGTTTATTTACGCTGAGGGGTTTTCTTTTTTCCTCTCTCAAAATGTCATTTTCATGGAACGGTTTTTTTCAGTTTCTAGCACTCTTTTCGTTCAGTTGTCGAGGGTTTTTTCCTGGAAAATCCCCCACGAGTTCATTTTGCGCGACGATTCATTTGTGAAGCAGCGTGTCATGTCTTCCCATTTCGCTGTCATTGTGAAATTTGAATACACTTGGGAGGCCCGATCAGATTCGTCCCATCTTTGTCCCCACAACCGAATGCATTCCGATCCGATTTCCATGGCCACCAAACGTCTTTTAAGTGAATCTCAGCGGTCACATCATTTCCTTCTGCTTAAAAGCTTTTCATTAAGGTGGTGTTTTTGCCGCCTTCCCCATTACTTGCTTCTGTCCTCAGCTGAATGCTCTCCTTTCACAATACTAGGAAACCGCAATGCCTCTTTCTGAATGTGAATTCTCAGATTCTTCTCTGGTATTCATGAACAATCTGGTTTCGCTGCGAATGATGGGGCGTGTCAGCGCTACTGCGCTTGGCGCAACGCCACACCCGTTTTCCGCCAGTTTCCAATACGAGCAAGCGGCAAGACTGTACCATATCTTTCGTATCAGTCGTTTTGCACCAATTATTATCTTTTAAATGCTGCAACAGTTGGTGAAAAACGGCCACGGTTCCGCGCCAAACGCAGCCGCGCTGAGACGCCCATAATCCGCAAAGATCCAGGCTTAGAACAGTGCAATCTTTGAAAGTCGCTGTCGTTTACGTAATCAAGCGAAATAGAAGACTAAGTGGAATTCAAGAAGTCGAAATTTGGTATGAGTTTTGAGGTGCTGATTCGTGAGGATTGTAAATTATGAAGAAATAAAAAACCTTACTAAAATTGTGGTTCGCTTGTCACAGTGGACATGTGTATCGCTCCCGCATCCGTTGGAGGAATACGAATCTTGAGGTTTTCTTTCTCTCCGTGGATCTTACGGTTAACTTCGAGAGACCATTCCACCTCACAACTAGTTCATGCAATGAAGCATTCGCAGAAGCTCTTCTTTCCTTGCTTCCAAATTCGTCTGTCATGTAAAATGCAAAAAAAAAAAACTCGAAACTAGCTACGAGGTTTCATTTAAGTAGTTGTAACGGGTTAATTCATTGTGAAATCGATAAAAGGACAATTAGTTAACAGAAGCACAGCAAAAAGCAACGGATTATCGCTTAATACACGGCTTACTTGCCATTGAACTTGATTATAGCCTTCATATTCTGTGGCGTTGATCCCACAAAACATCTAATGTTCAATCCTTTTTTTTTCTCGAAATGGGTTGAACAGTTCTTGCTGTTGATAGACTCATCACACTGACTGATGCTTCAAGTCTTTGAAGTGATGCCCGATAAGTTGAGGTACAGGCTTTTATTCGGTCCTTTCACCACCGGGGTATTGACTCTTGGGTGCTGGGACCACGTACTTTGTGTCTGCTTGGGATGTGATTCTTACTTATTTGTAGGTAGTTTTCTAGCACAAAGCAAATTCCGGTGGGGGAATTTTCCGAGAAAAACGAATCCTCCGGACCACGGACTTTCTCCACTAATTCAACCCCACCCTTTATCTTGCCATCCCTTCCCAGCTCCCTACCCCACCTACCATGACCACCATTTTCCGAAAATTTCCCAAAAAATTTTCCAGTTTTTCCTCGAAATTTTGCTCTGGAAGGGGGAATATGTAGCACATGTTTACATAAAAAACAGCGGAAAGTCAATAAGTGAAAAAAATTTCGCGACTCAGCTAATTTCTCTCA